CCGCCCACCGCCCCCCCGCAGCCCCCCGGCGCCGCCGGAGCCCCCGGCAAGGCCACGTACCAGCGGGAGCCGCGGCAGAGCTGGGACTCGCCGGCGCTCAACAACGACGTGGTGCAGCGGCCCGCCCACCGCCCCCCCGCAGCCCCCCGGCGCCGCCGGAGCCCCCGGCAAGGCCACGTACCAGCGGGAGCCGCGGCAGAGCTGGGACTCGCCGGCGCTCAACAACGACGTGGTGCAGCGGCGCCAGTACCGCATCGGCCTCAACCTCTTCAACAAGTGAGGCGTGGGGGCTCGGGGGGGCTGTGCCGGATGTGGGGAGGGGGCTGGGGGTCCGGCAGTGGGGCCACGCGGCGCCGGGGGAAGGCTGGGGTGGGATTGTTGGTGACGCCACGGCGAGGGCAGGGTGGTGTTCCAGGTGAGCGTGTGGTGATGTTCTAGATGAACCTATAGAGAGAGCAGGGTGATGTTCTAGCTGACCCTATAACGAGAGCAGGGTGAGGTTCTAGGTGATCCTATAGCGAGGATGGGGGATGTTCTAGGTGAGCCTATAGCGAGGGCAGGGTGGTGTTCCAGGTGAGCCTATGGTGATGTTCTAGATGAACCTATAGCGAGAGCGGGGTGAGGTTCTAGGTGACCCTATGGTGATGTTCTAGATGGACCTATAGAGAGAGCAGGGTGATGGATGTTCTAGGTGAGCCTATAGCGAGGATGGGGGGATGTTCTAGGTGAGCCTATCGTGAGGGCATGGTGATGTTCTAGGTGACCCAATGGTGATGTTCTAGGAGACCCTATAGCGAGGATGGGGGTGTTCTAGGTGACCCTATAGCAAGGGCATGGTGGTGTTCTAGGTGATCCTATAGCGAGGATGGGGGATGTTCTAGGTGAGCCTATAGCGAGGGCAGGGTGGTGTTCCAGGTGAGCCTATGGTGATGTTCTAGATGAACCTATAGAGAGAGGAGGGTGAGGTTCTAGGTGATCCTATAGCGAGGATGGGGGGATGTTCTAGCTGACCCTATAGCGAGGGCATGGTGGTGTTCTAGGTGATCCTATAGTGAGGATGGGGACTGTTCTAGGTGAGCCTATGGTGATGTTCTAGATGAACCTATAGCAACAATGGGGATGTTCTAGGTGACCCTATCGTGAGAGCTGGGTGATGTTCTAGGTGAGCCTACAGCAAGGGTAGGGTGATGTTTGAGGTGACCCTCTAGGACCCCATAATGATGTTTGAGGTCTGCCCACACCCCTGCGGTGACGTTCTAGGTGACCCTATAGCGAGGATGGGGGGATGTTCTAGGTGACCCCGTAGAACCCCACAATGACGTTCTAGGTGACCCTATAGCGAGGATGGGGGATGTTCTAGGTGACACTATAGGTAGTGAGAGTTGGGTGATGTTCTAGGTGAATCTATAACAAAGGCAGGGTGATGTTCTAGGTGACCCTACAGCAAAGATGGCGGATGTTTGAGGTGACTCTGTAGAACCAACCCCACAATGATGTTCTAGGTGACCCTATAGCGAGGATGGGGGGATGTTCTAGGAGACCCTGTAGAACCCCACAATGACGTTCTAGGTGACCCTACAGCGAGGATGGGGGGATGTTCTAGGTGACACTATAGATAGTGAGAGTTGGGTGATGTTCTAGGTGAATCCATAACAAAGGCAGGGTGATGTTCTAGGTGACCCTACAGCAAAGATGGCGGATGTTTGAGGTGACTCTGTAGAACCAACCCCACAATGATGTTCTAGGTGACCCTACCGTGAAGTTCTAGGTGAGCCTATAGTGAGCACGGGGGGGACGTTGGTGGCCCTGGAGAAGGGCGAGGTGGCCCAGGTGGCCCTAGGGAAGGACACGAGGGATGTTTGAGGTGGCTCTGTAGAACCCCACAATGACGTTCTAGGTGACCCTACCGTGAGGTTCTAGGTGAGCCTATAGTGAGGACGGGGGGACGTTGGTGGCCCTGGAGAAGGGCGAGGTGGCCCAGGTGGCCCTAGGGAAGGACACGATGGCCATGGTGGCCCTGTGGCCAGGACAAGGTGATGTTTGAGGTGGCCCTGTAGAACCCCACCGTGGTGTTCTAGGTGGCCCTACAGTGAAGCTCCAGGTAACCATGCGGGGTGACGTTCTAGGTGACCCTATGGTGATGTTCTAGGTAGCCCTACTGTGGAGCTCTAGGTAGCCCTACGGTGACATTTCAGGTCACCAGACATGACTGCGTTCTAGGTGACCCTATAGCGAGGATGGGGGGATGTTCTAGGCGACGCCGTAGAACCCCACAATGACGTTCTAGGTGACCCTACCGTGAGGTTCTAGGTGAGCCTATAGTGAGGACGGGGGGACGTTGGTGGCCCTGGAGAAGGGCGAGGTGGCCCAGGTGGCCCTAGGGAAGGACACGATGGCCATGGTGGCCCTGTGGCCAGGACAAGGTGATGTTTGAGGTGGCCCTGTAGAACCCCACCGTGGTGTTCTAGGTGGCCCTACAGTGAAGCTCCAGGTAACCATGCGGGGGGGACGTTCTAGGTGACCCTATGGTGATGTTCTAGGTAGCCCTACTGTGGAGCTCTAGGTAGCCCTACGGTGACATTTCAGGTCACCAGACATGACTGCGTTCTAGGTGACCCTATGGTGATGTTCTAGGTTAATCTACAGTGCTGTTCTAGGTAGCCCTACTGTTGAGCTCTAGGTAGCCCTGCGGTGACATTTCAGGTCACCAGACATGACTGCGTTCTAGGTGACCCTGTGGTTATGTTCTAGGTAGCCCTACTGTTGAGCTCTAGGTAGCCCTACGGTGACATTCCAGGTCAGCCTTTGGTGATGTTCTAGGTAGCCCTACTGTGGAGTTCTAGGTAGCCCTACGGTGACATTCCAGGTCACCAGACATGCCTGTGTTCTAGGTGACCCTATGGTGACGTTCTAGGTTAATCTGCAGTGCTGTTCTAGGTAGCCCTACTGTGGAGTTCTAGGTAGCCCTACGGTGACATTCCAGGTCACCCTGTGGTGATGTTCTAGGTAGCCCTACTGTGGAGTTCTAGGTAGCCCCACGGTGACATTCCAGGTCACCAGACAGGACAGCGCTCCAGGTGACCCTTGAGGGAAGCCGATGTCACCTGAGGTGACCCCACGATGTCCCTAGAGCCGGGGGCAGGTGACGTTCTAGGTCACTCCACCACGGCTGACCACCACGGAACCCCCCGCAGGAAGCCGGAGAAGGGGATCCAGTACCTGATCGAGAGGGGGTTCCTGTCCGACACCCCCGTGGGCGTCGCCCACTTCATCCTGGAGCGGAAGGGCCTGAGCCGGCAGATGATCGGCGAGTTCCTGGGCAACCGCCAGAAGCAGTTCAACCGCGACGTCCTCGAGTAAGGGGGGGACGCGCCGGGGGCGAGGGGGGGCGCGCCGGGGCTGGGGGCGGCCCCCAGAGCCATCCCCTGCCGCGGGGTCTCGGCAGCTGCGTGGTGGACGAGATGGATTTCTCCGGGATGGAGCTGGACGAGGCCCTGCGGAAGTTCCAGTCGCACATCCGCGTGCAGGGGGAGGCGCAGAAGGTCGAGCGCTTGATCGAGGCCTTCAGGTGAGGGGTGGGTCCCCGTCCCCGTGTCCCCACGTCCCCGCGTCCCTCTGTCCCCGCGTCCCCGCTGCACCGCCCCTGCCACCAGCAGCACGCAGTGGGGTGGTCACCATGGGTGATGTTCTAGAACATTCTGTGGATTGAGGGGGGACACAAGGGGACATGGGGCTGTTCTAGGTGACCCTATGGATTGAGGGTGGACACAAAGGGTGGTGGCACCTGTGGGACATGGGGCTGTTCTAGATCATTCTATGGATTCAGAGGGGACACAAGGGGACATGGGGCTGTTCTAGAACATTCTATGGATTATGGGGGGACACAAGGGGACATGGGGCTGTTCTAGATCATTCCATGGATTGAGTGGGACACAAAGGGTGGTGGCATCTGTGGGACATGGGGCTGTTCTAGATCATTCTATGGATTGAGTGGGACACCAGGGGGTGGTGGCACCTGTGGGACCAGGGGCTGTTCTAGAACATTCTATGGATTGAGGGGGGACACAAGGGGGTGGCACCTGTGGGACATGGGGCCGTTCTAGGTGACCCTATGGATTATGGGGGGACACAAGGGGTTGGTGGCAGCTGTGGGACATGGGGCTGTTCTAGGTGACCCTACAGACTGACAGGACACTGGGGGGTGGCCCCTGGACCACAGGGTGACGTTCTGGGTGACCCTAAGGATTGAGGGGGGACACAAAGGGTGGTGGCACCTGTGGGACATGGGGCCGTTCTAGGTGACCCTACAGACTGACAGGACACTGGGGGGTGGCCCCTGGACCACAGGGTGACGTTCTGGGTGACCCTGTGCATCAAGGACGGGCCACGGGGGCGGTGGCCCACGTTCTAGGTGACCCTACAGCCCCCAGGGTGCCGCCCCACCCTCAGGGGCGGCTGTGGGGTGCAGAGGCCGGCCGTGGGGCACCGTGACCCCATGGGCCGTGGGGGTTGTCCGCCCCGCAGCCAGCGCTACTGCGTGTGTAACGCGGCCCTGCTGCGCCAGTTCCGCAACCCGGACACCATCTTCATCCTGGCCTTCGCCATCATCCTCCTCAACACCGACATGTACAGCCCCAGCGTCAAGGCCGAGCGCAAGATGAAGCTCGAGGACTTCATCAAGAACCTGCGAGGTGAGGCCCTGGGAGGTCCCCGGGAGGAGACGTGGGTTCTAGAGCGGGGTGGGTTCTAGAGCAGGGCTGGGTGTTGGATTGTCCAGCGCTTTCCCAGGTGTTGCAGGTTCTGGATCAGGGTCAGGTGTGGTGGGTTTGAGGGTGGAGCTGGGTGTTGTGGGTTCTAGATTGGGTCGGGTGGTGCAGGTTCTAGAGTGTGCCTGGTGGCTGTGGGGTCTGGGGCAGGTCTGGGATGACACTGGTGGAAAGGTGGGTCCAGGTGTTGTGGGTTCTAGATTGGGTCGGGTGTTGTGGGTTCCAGAGTGGACCCGGTGGCTTTGGGTTCTGGGATGGATCTGGGGTGACACTGGTGGAAAGGTGGGGCCGGGTGTTGTGGGTTCTAGAACGGGTGGTGCAGGTTCTAGAGTGTGCCTGGTGGCTGTGGGGTCTGGGGCAGGTCTGGGATGACACTGGTGGAAAGGTGGGTCCAGGTGTTGTGGGTTCTAGATTGGGTCGGGTGGTGCAGGTTCTAGAGTGTGCCTGGTGGCTGTGGGGTCTGGGGCAGGTCTGGGATGACACTGGTGGAAAGGTGGGTCCAGGTGTTGTGGGTTCTAGATTGGGTCGGGTGTTGTGGGTTCCAGAGTGGACCCGGTGGCTTTGGGTTCTGGGATGGATCTGGGGTGACACTGGTGGAAAGGTGGGGCCGGGTGTTGTGGGTTCTAGATTGGGTCGGGGGTTGTGGGTTCCAGAGTGGACCCGGTGGCTTTGGGTTCTGGGATGGATCTGGGATGACACTGGTGGAAAGGTGGTGCTGGGTGTTGTGGGTTCTAGATTGGGGCAGAGGTCACAGGTTCTGGAGTGGGTTCAGGTGTTGCAGGTTCTGGATCAGGGTCGGGTGTTATGGGTTTGGGGGTGGAGCTGGTGGCTGCGGGGTCTGGGGTGACACCGGTGCAAGGGTGGGCCCGGGTGTTGTGGGTTCTAGATTGGATCAGGTGTTGTGGGTTCTAGAGTGGAGCTGGTGGCTGCGGGGTCTGGGGTGACACCAGTGCAAGGGTGGGCCCGGGTGTTGTGGGTTCTAGATTGGATCCGGTGTTGAGGGTTCTAGAGTGGGCCTGGTGGCTGTGGGTTCTGGGATGGATCTGGGATGGCACCGGTGCAAGGGTGGGTTCTAGAAGGGGGGGGGCAGACGTAGCATGTGTCCAGGTGTTGCAGGTTCTGGATCAGGGTCGGTTGTGATGGGTTTGAGGGTGGGTCCGGGTGTTGCAGGTTCTGGAGTAGATAATGATGACACGGGTTCCAGAGCAGATCTGGGTTTTGGGGCTTCTAGAAGGGGTCTGGGTGTCCCAGGTCCTGGACTCAAGCTGGGTGGAAGGTTCTAGAGTGTGTCCAGATGTCATTAGGTTCTCACCCATTATTAGTGAGTTCTGGAGCTGGAGTTGCAGGTTCTAGAGCAGCGTCAGCCGTTGCAGGTCGGGGGTGCGTTGCGGGTTCTGGAGCGGTTCCACGCGGCGCGGGTTCTAGAGCGGGCCCGGGTGTCGCGCAGGGGTGGACAACGGCGAGGACATCCCCCGGGACATGCTGGTGGGCATCTACCAGCGCATCCAGAGCCGCGAGCTGCGCACCAACGACGACCACGTGTCCCAGGTCCAGGCCGTGGAGCGCATGATCGTCGGCAAGAAACCGGTGCGTCGGCTCGGGGGCGGGGCCAGGGCACCGGGGGGCGGGGCCAGGCGGGGGCGTGTCCCCGGTGACCCCGTGGGACAGGTTCTGGGCCACCCACGGGAGACGTTCCAGGATTCCAGGAGATCCTGTGGGAAGGATGCTGCAGGTGGCCCCATGGGGCAGGTTCTAGGTGACCCATGGGGCAGGTTCTAGGTGACCTTTGGGGGGTGTTCCAGGTGACCCATGGGGCAGGTTCTAGGCAATCAATGGGGATGTTCTAGGTGACCCATGGGGGGCAGGTTCTAGGTGACCCTATGGGGTGGGTTCCAGGTGACCCATGGGGGGTGTTCCAGGTGACCCACGGGGCAGGTTCCAGGTGAGCCTAGGAGAGGGATGTTCTAGGTGATCCATGGGGCAGGTGGAATGTTCTAGGTGATCCATGGGGCAGGTTCTCAGTGACCCATGGGGCAGGTTCTAGGTGACCCAAGGGACACAATCCAGGTGATCTGTGGGGGGTGATCCTGGTGACCCATGGGGGACATCGTGTGGGACATTCGGGGTGACCTGTGGGGGACACTCAAGTGACCCACGTGGGACATTGGGGTGACCTTGAAGTGACCTTGAAGTGACCCTGACCTATGTGGGACGTTTGGGGTGACCCTTAAAGTGACCCACAGGGGACATCTGGGGTGATCTGTGGGGGACACTCCTTGAAGTGACCTCCATGGGACATTCGGGGTACCCCAACCTGTCCAAGCTCTGTGTGACCCCAGCAAGGTCCAAGGCCACCCTCACCCCTCGGGGCGGGTCTGGGGGCACGTGTCCCCCCCGGGTGTGACCCCCACGTGTCCCCAGGTGCTGTCCCTGCCCCACCGAAGGTCCTAGGCCCCCCTCCCCACCCTGGGGCGGGTCTGGGGGCGCGTGTCCCCCCCGGGTGTGACCCCCAGGTGCTGTCCCTGCCCCACCAAAGGTCCAAGGCCACCCTCACCCCTCGGGGCGGGTCTGGGGGCACGTGTCCCCCCCGGGTGTGACCCCCACGTGTCCCCAGGTGCTGTCCCTGCCCCACCGGCGCCTGGTCTGCTGCTGCCAGCTCTACGAGGTGCCCGACCCCAACCGGCCCCAGCGCCTGGGGCTGCACCAGCGCGAGGTTTTCCTCTTCAACGACCTCCTGGTGGTGAGCGGGGGGTCCCGGGGGGTCCCGGGGGGGTCCTCAGCCCCGGGGGGATCCGGGAGAGGGGTCCCTGGTGACCCCGTGTCCTCGGCAGGTGACGAAGATCTTCCAGAAGAAGAAGATCCTGGTGACCTACAGCTTCCGGCAGAGCTTCCCGCTGGTGGAGATGCACATGCAGCTCTTCCAGAACGCCTGTGAGCCCCGCGGCGCCCCGAGGGACCCTATAGGACCCCATGGGACCCTACAGCTCCCCAAAGAACCCCACAACACCCCAAAGAACCCCACAGCATCCTATAGGACCCCACAGCACCCCATGGGACCCTACAGAACCCCGTGGGACCCTACAGCACCCCAAAAAATCCTACAGCACCTCACAGAACCCCACAGCATCCTATGGGATCCCTACAGATCCCCAAAGAACTGTACAGCACCCCAAAGAACCCCACAGCACCCCAAAAAATCCTACAGCACCCCAAAGAACCCTACAGCACCCTGTGGGACCCTACAGCACCCTAAAGAACCCTACAGGGCCTCAAAGAACCCTACAGCACCTCACAGAACCCCATGGAACCCTACAGCACCCCAAAGAACCCTACAGCACCTCACAGAGCCCCACAGCACCCCAAAAAACCCTACAGCATCCTATGGGACCCCACAGCACCCCATAGGACCCCACAGCACCCTATGGGACTCTATAGGACCCCAAAAGACCCCACGGGACCCTCTGGAACCTCCTGCTGTGTCCCCTCCCCCTCGCCCTGTCCCCCCAAATTCCCAGTTTGGGATCAGGCTGGGGTCGGTGTCCCCGTGGGGGTGTCCCTGACCCTGTGGGGTGTCCCTGACCCTGTGGGGTGCCCCTGCCCCCCATGCCCCCCAGATTCCCAGTTCGGGATCAGGCTGGCTGTCCCTGTGGGGTGTCCCTGTCCCTTTTGGGTGTGCCCCTGTCCCTTTGGGGTGTCCCTGACCCCGTGCCCCCCCCGTGCCCCCCAGATTCCCAGTTTGGGATCAAGCTGGGGTTGGTGTCCCTGTGGGGGTGTCCCTGTCCCTTTGGGGTACCCCCTGACCCCATTGCCCCCCAGATTACCAGTTCGGGATCAGGCTGGGTGTCCCTGACCCTTTTGGGGTCCCCCATGCCCCCCATTCCCCCCCAGATTACCAGTTCGGGATCAGGCTGCAGGCTGGGGTTGGTGTCCCCGTGGGGTGTCCCTGACCCTTTGGGGTACCCCTGCCCCCCATTCCCCCCCAGATTACCAGTTCGGGATCAAGCTGAGTGTCCCTGTCCCTTTGGGGGTGTCCCTGACCCTTTAGGGGTGTCCCTGACCCTTTAGGGGTGTCCCTGACCCTTTAGGGGTGTCCCTGACCCTTTAGGGGTGTCCCTGACCCTTTAGGGGTGTCCCTGACCCTTTAGGGGTGTCCCTGACCCTTTAGGGGTGTCCCTGACCCTTTAGGGGTGTCCCTGACCCTTTAGGGGTGTCCCTGACCCTTTAGGGGTGTCCCTGACCCTTTAGGGGTGTCCCTGACCCTTTAGGGGTGTCCCTGACCCTTTAGGGGTGTCCCTGACCCTGTGGGGGTGTCCCTGTCCCTGTGGGGGTGTCCCTGACCCTTTGGGGTGCCCCTGCCCCCCGTGCCCCCCAGATTACCAGTTCGGGATCAAGCTGAGTGTCCCTGTCCCTTTGGGGGTGTCCCTGACCCTTTAGGGGTGTCCCTGACCCTTTGGGGGTGCCCCTGTCCCTTTAGGGGTGTCCCTGTCCCTGTGGGGTGCCCCTGACCCCCCGTGCCCCCCAGATTACCAGTTTGGGATCAGGCTGGGTGTCCCTTTGGGGGTGCCCCTGTCCCTTTGGGGGTGTCCCTGACCCTTTGGGGTGCCCCTGCCCCCCGTGCCCCCCAGATTACCAGTTCGGGATCAAGCTGAGTGTCCCTGACCCTGTGGGGTGTCCCTGACCCTTTGGGGGTGCCCCTGACACTGGGCGTTACTGGGTGTTACTGGGGGTTACTGGGTGTGCCCCCCCAGCGGAACTGGAGAAGCAGAAGGGCGTGGCGGGGCCGCGGGGCGCGGGGCACAGGGAGGCACTGGGTGTCACTGGTGTCACTGGGGGTTACTGGGTGTCACTGGGTGTCACTGGGTGTTACTGGGCGTTACTGGGGGGGGTCACTGGTGTCACTGGTGTCCCCCCCAGCGGAGCTGGAGAAGCAGAAGGGCGTGGCGGGGCCGCGGGGCGTGGGGAGGCACTGGGTGTCACTGGTGTCACTGGGTGTCACTGGGTGTTACTGGGCGTTACTGGGGGGGGTCACTGGTGTCACTGGTGTCCCCCCCAGCGGAGCTGGAGAAGCAGAAGGGCGTGGCGGGGCCGCGGGGCGCGGGGCACAGGGAGGCACTGGGTGTCACTGGGTGTCACTGGGTGTCACTGGGCGTTACTGGGTGTTACTGGGGGGGGTCACTGGTGTCACTGGTGTCACTGGTGTCCCCCAGCGGAGCTGGAGAAGCAGAAGGGCGTGGCGGGGCCGCGGGGCGCGGGGCCCCCCCGCGAGGCGCTGAACGGGCTCAGCCGCAGCAGCCTGGAGGACGCGTTCGGCGCCGAGGGGCTCAAACGGAGCGCGCTGAGCAGCTCCCTGCGGGACCTGTCCGACAGCGGTGAGACCGGGGGCACTGGGAGCACTGGGAGGGACTGGGAGGGGCTGGGGGACACTGGGAGGGGCTGGGAGGGGGATTGGGACCAAACTGGGAGGGACTGGGAAACGCTGGGAGGGGACTGGGACCAAACTGGGAGGGGACTGGGGGCACTGGGAGGGACTGGGAGGGACTGGGACCAAACTGGGAGGGGGATTGGGAGGGGCTGGGAGACATTGGGAGGCAACTGGGGGCACTGGCAGCGGGATTGGGAGCAACTGGGAGGGACTGGGGGGAGGATTTCGACCAAACTGGGAGGGACTGGGAAACACTGGGAGTGCTGGGAGGACTGGGAGCACTGGGAGGGGACTGGGACCAAACTGGGAGGGACTGGGAAACACTGTGGGGGATTGGGAGGGACTGGGGGGCATTGGGAAGGACTGGGATGGGCTGGCAGGCACTGTGAGGGGGATTGGGGGGACTGGAGAGCACTGGGAAACACTGGGAGGGACTGGGGGGCACTGGGAGGGGGATTGGGAGGACTGGGAGGGACTGGGAGGAGGATTGGGGAGGGACTGGGAGGCACTGGGAGCCACTGTGAGGGGGATTGGGAGAGGCTGGGGGGGCACTGGGAAGGACTGGGACGGACTGGGAGAGGCTGGGAAACACTGGGAGGGACTGGGAGGGAGTTTGGGGTCTCCATGGGGGGAATTTGGGGTCCCTTGGGGGGTTTGGGGTGCCCATGGAGGGGTCTGGGGTGTCCAGGAGGGATTTTGGGGTGTCCAGGAGAACATTTGGGGGGTTTGGGGTAACCACAAGGGAGTTTTGGGGTGCTCTGGAGAGGTTTTGGGGTCCCCTGGTGGGGCTTTGGGGAATTTGGGGTGCCCTGGGGGGATTTGGGGTGTCCTGGGGGGTCCCTGGAGGGATTTGGGGTCCCTGAGAGGTCTCTGGGGGGATTTGAGGTACCCTGGGGGGTCCCGGGGGGATTTGGGGTGTCCTGAGGCATTTGGGGTGCCCTGGGGGGTCCCTGAGGGATTTGGGGTCCCTGGGGGGATTTGGGGTACCCTGGGGGGTCCCGGGGGGATTTGGGGTGCCCTGAGGGGATTTGGGGTCCCTGGGGGTCTCCCCTCACTGCCCCCCCCCCCCCCGGGAAGGGGGGGCGGGGGGAAAAGGGGGG